ATGATTTATCATTCTAGATCCATTTTTACATCCTATACACCGGAATAAAATAATCGCTAATCAGGTACAAATGTATGATATGGAAGGGCACAGAGTTTCAGGATGCTGACAATTCTTTTTTTTTTTAATTATTATTATTTAAATGGAGGCTGTGTTGGATAAAACAAGTAATACAGAGTCACAACTTTGGGGTAGAGATCAGAGGATGTCAAAGATAAAGGTTAAAGTTTGAAATGTCCTTGAAACGTCTGCATTCAGGGATGTAGATGGCAGCTGGATGTTCAAGTCTGAAGGACAAAAAGAGGTTTTGTTAGGAGACTACATGTAGGCATTTCTCAGTGTCAAAAGTTAGGAAAAATTATCACTATGGATGAGGTCACTCATAGATCATGTAATGTGGAAATGAGAGAGACAAGTTATGAAACCTACATGTGAAATAAAGAAGGGGAAGTTTGATAAGCCAAGAAACAACGGGTTGAGTAAAGACTGAATTTCCCAGTGGCAGAAAAAAATGCTAAACTGTGGTCTATTGAAACAAAATGGTATGTGTATACAAAAGCTTTATGCATACAAGAGCTGGAGTACAGGCCAGAGATACTGGGGGTGAGAGGATTCACCAGAGACAGTGGGAAACAAAACAGGCAAACAGACTGCTGAGGGGAGCAGCGGGCGAGACAGGAGAGGTCTGCTTTGCCATGTGGGTAGCCAATCCCCTGGCTGGGGATTGAACTCGTGCTGCAGTGGCTGCAGTGAGTTTCATAGGTTGGGTCTTAACCCCTTGCACCACCAGGAAGGCCCCAACATAGCTACTTTAATGGTGTTTATTTTGCCAATCTATGAACTGAGAATATCTTTCCATCTCTTTTTTCCTTCTACTTGTATCAAAAATGTATCAAAAAAAATATTTTGGGTGGGCCTCCCCTGGTGGTGCAGCAGTTGAGTGCTGGGCTGTGAGGCTGCCCGCAGCCTCTGTAGCGCAGGTTCATTCCCCGGTCGTCGGCGAGGGTCCCACAAAAAAAAAAAAAATCTTTTGGGCATCATCAATTCAACCTGCTGTAATATATATTGAATCCTGTTTCAATAAACTAAATACTTACACAATTTTCTCCTCCTGTTTAAATTCAGAGATATGATTCTGTTATATATAAAAATAAATACATAGCCCCACTCTAGAGAACCTCTGAGAAACAGAAAACAAAAAGAAATAAAGCCACAAAGCACATAAGGTATAGAGAGGAAGGTCACCCTTGGTAATAGCAATGGGCAGTTACAAGGAAGAAATGTTAATTGAAGAAGTTTAGGGAAGAAAGGTAGAAACTTATTTTGAGTGGCTAACATTTTGATTCACAATTACTGGAAACAACTGCTGATGGCTGCTGTTCTCTGTTACTAAAAAAGAGAATAGCCAGAGATCAGCTTTCAGGCACCTCTCAATAAAAGTAGAAGAGAGTCATACAGAATATGTCAGCTACAAAAATAAGTGAAAAATAAGCAACGAATATTAAATAGAATCCTGAGAGGCAGGAAATCTAATCAATGGAAACCGACATGTATCAAAACACGTAACAGCAACTAGAACAGTGTATGTGTATCTACAGAGAGATACAGGAGGATACTACACCCACAGTGCAAATAGGTGATTGTGAAAAATATACAGACTTTTAAAATGTAAAAATTATAATTCCGAAATTAAAAAAAAAAAAAAACACCCTGATTGTATGGACTAAAAAAGAAGATGAACACAGTTGATGAGCATCTAAGTGCCTTGAAGCAGGTCAAGAAATGGGCTAGTAATGCAATTCTAAAGGTAACATGGAAGAAAGCATGAAACAGACAGAAAAAATGCAAGAAATATTTACACTTCTATATAGAAATAATGTAGTTCCAAGAAAAGCAGCATTTATAGACTACTTAAAATATTCTAAGCACTTAGCGCATGCTAATTTATTTAATTCTTATAAGACTTAGAGGAAGAGAGGTTTTTTCCCCTAATGTAGTTTCTGACTTTATTTATTTATTTATTTATTATATATATTTATTACATCATCCTTCATTTTTGTACAATGTATGATTTTCCGTGAAACTCCCACCACCAATTCACCCATACTTTAAGGTCACATAGCTAATAAACAGAGCAGTCAGGGGATAGAACTTAGCAATCACGTACCAGAGGGCAGCTCTTAACCATTATGCTAAACAGCGAAGGCAAGGAAATAACAAGCATAGACAGGAAGCGGAATTCAGTGATAGCCAAGAAAGTCCCAAACTGAAAAAAGACAGGGAACATCCCTGAGAACAAAAGCAATAAAATGACAAGCCAGATGACAAATGATCCATCTCTATTCATAGTTTTTTTTTGTTTGTTTTTTTTTTTTGGTGGGACCCTTGCCGGCGGCCGGGGAACGAACCGGCGCTGCAGAGGCTGCGGGCAGCCTTGCAGCCCAGCGCTCAACCACTGCGCCACCAGAGGAGGCCCTCACAGTTTGTTTTTTTAGGGTTCCAGGCTAATTAAAAAAGTTAACACAGAGGAAAGAAATTTATGTATTTGGTAATTTACAAAGTTTTTCTTGATCTTTTAGCAGGTTTTCTAAAATCACCGCCTAGTTTAGGGCTAAGAGAAACAAAATAAAGAAACAGACAAAACTAAACCAAACAAACCCTAGACTTAAGACTGAATTATTATTGCAGAACTTGGCCACTAGAGGGGAAGGGAAGACGGTGGGATAAAGGTGTGGGTGCCCAGTAGTCTAGGTGGAGGATTACATGTACTATGGTGGTGGTTGTGGTATAGTAACAAAGATCTGAAGAGGTGTGGCCCTATTTTCCTAAATCATATATAGTATTGGAAACTCATATAAACTGATGATACCTCAATAAAAAAATTAAAAAAATATCAGGGTTAAGGATTGTTCCACTTCTATGTGCAATATAGAGAAATAAAACAAAGGGTCAGACACAAACTTAAATAATAAAACTAGGAAGTATGACTTCCAGAGCGTGAGGGAGAAAGTGGTAGTAGGTTGTAGATGGGGGCCAATAAACTATGGTGGAGGACTCTGGGTGCCTTAGTGTTGGATAGGACATGGTAACATGTATCTGAAGAGGTGTAATCCTTTAACTCTCAGTCATACAGAGATGTAGCCAATGTTACATCAATAAAAATAAAATAGGGGGCCTCCCTGGTGGCACAAAGGGTTAAGACACAGCCTCTGAAGCTGTCTGCAGCCACTGCAACATGAGTTTGATCCCCAGCCAGGGAGCCTCCCACATGGTGCAGTGGACCTTTCCTGCTCCCCTCAGCAGTGTATTTCAGTCAGTCTGCCTGTTCTGCTTCCCACGCTGTCTCTGGTGAATCCTCTCACCCCTCACACCTTTGGCCTATACCCCATATCTTATATGCACAAATGGACTAATCTTTAAAAAATAAATAAAGGGCCTCCCCTGGTGGCGCAGTGGTTGAGCGCTGCACTGCGAAGCTGCCCACAGCCTCTGCAGCAATGGTTCGATCCCCGGCCGCCATCCAGGGTCCCACATGGCGCGACAGACCTCTCCTGCCGCCCGCTGCTGCCCTCAGCAGTGTACTTCGGTCCTTCTGCCTGCTCTGCTCCCCGCTTTGGCTCTGGTGAATTCTCTCATCCTCCCGTGCTTCTGACTGTACCCAGTGCTCATATAAAGAAATAAATAAGTAAATCTTTAAAAAAAATAAATAAAATAATAAGATAAAATAAAACTTAGGGTTTATTAAGAAGGGGTATTTAAGCCCTAAGTTGTATTTTTCTAATTAATCACCATGAAACAATAAATACAAACATTATTAACAGGGAGAGTGACTCAAATAGAAGGAGTATTCACATGACTAAGCTATAGAAATGCAATACTTCATTCTAAATACATCTACACATTTTGTTATTGTCTTTCTCTTTATTGCTTTTACACTTACAGAGGGCTTCCTTGCCTATGTCTGATTTTTCCTAAATTATTTTGTTGATGTAACCAAAATTACCTATGCTACCATGATATTACTACACATACCCTTAACTGACAAGATTAAATATTCATTATCAGTCCAATAGAGCAAGATTCTGAGAAATTAAGGAAAGAGAAGACACTTTTATGAAATTTTGCTCAATGTTGGCAAGTTTGGATGGACTAAATGCACTGAAAAACATGTAGAACTTTTCATTGAATAAAGACTGATTTAAAATGAAGAATAGTAACTAGCCTTATATATAAGGAGATTACAGTTAGCATAATTTCATGTAACTTTATGCAACATAACACAGTATGGGTATTAGAAAATTGATGAAAATGTTCTTCAGAGATTAGATTGATGAGAGACAAACCCAAGAAACAAAAATTGCGATTCCTTTCCATGACATGTAGCATTTTATTTAGCAAACACAGCATTTTATTAAGGAACAACGAAGCAAAATTTTTTATACATAAAATGCTATTTTCTTTTTTTTTTTTAAAGAAAGATTTACTTATTTAAGTATTCAAGAACTGGGGTACGGGCCAGATATGAAGGAAGGTGAGAGGATTCACCAGAGACAGAGTGGGGAGCAGAACAGGCAGACTGTCTGAAATACACTGCTGAGGGGAGCAGCAGGCGAGACAGGAGAGGTCTGCTGTGCCATGTGGGTATCTCCCCGGCTGGCCGCGATCGAACCTGCGCTGCAAAGGCTGCTGACAACCTCACAGTGCTGCGCTCAACCACCTGTGCCAGCAGGGGAGGCACTAAAATGCTATTTTAGAAGCAAATTTTAAAAGAATTCATAGATGGATATGTTATAGTTTCATTTAGGAATTAATCCCCATAATTAACATCACAGTGTAACTGAGGGAAATTTCTTTGGCTACCAGTGAGGATCCACACACTCAGTTCAGAATATTATTGTGTGCTTTTAACTATACTCAGCATAGTTGAGAAGAAAACATCCTAAAATCTGTTTTCTAATGAGCCATTTTATAGAGTACTGACACACCAGGAGCAGTAGCAACTAGCCTAACTCAATCACCTGGCCCACAATGGCATTTTATATTTCATATACATGTACTATTTTTATATTAAAATTTGTTATCTATCATAATATTTCAATTAATTTGATATTTAATTTTAATGGGGTTTTGAATACATATAGCTTAGAAAATAATTTTAAAAACAGCTAATAGGTGACCATCAGACTAATTAAGTGAACGCCACCAGTTGACTAAAGTTTTACCCAAACGAGAGTGGTTACTTACAAAGAGGTAACTACTATCTTGAAGAGGGTATAAGTCATTCACTTGACTTTCATTTTACCACCCACGTAAGGAAGCCTATATATATGTGTGTCATTTGTTTTGGAGATTTGTGAAAAAGCATTCTCCATAACTTGGCTCTGCTCAGTAAGTCATACACGCCTAATGTCATTTCTGTCAATGACAAACCAAAGATAATATTTCTTATATAGCATCTAGATGATACATAGTAGGCTATACCATTCAGGTTTGTGTAAGTACAACCAAATAGTCCATTTCTTAGAATGTATCCCCATCATTAAGCAACATATAAATATACTTAGATTGTTTCCAATTTCTTGCTATCACAATTTTGATAAGAATATATCTTGTAAATATCTCTTGAAGCAAATATGCCAAAGTTACTTTAGCCTCTACACATGGGAATGCATTTGCTTGATGACAAAGCATAACTGTGCTGAAATATTTTTAGTGAAAATCACCAAAGTGAGTGTTTTATCATTTATACTCACACTAATATTAACATTGAACACAATTTTTAATTTTGGCAAAAATGTGGCTATGTTCTGGAATTGAGTTGAATTTTTATTACTAGAGTCCTGACTACTACTAAAGCTTAACATTTTTAGAAATAAATTTATGGAACATCTATATTCCTTCTCTAAGATGCCTATTAATTAATATCTTTTATCCACTTTTAATGAATCATCTGTTCATACTGCAAGTGTTCTGAACATTATCTTCCTGTTATAAATCTTTCACAGATTATTACTTGTACATTCTTCTCCTAAGGTGCCCTTTGATAGACACCTGTTCTTTCTTTTTTTTTTTTTTTTTTTTTTTACGGGTATCAAATTGTTTTGTTTGAAGGAATGATACAAATGAAAGCTATAAGAAGATGTTTTGGTACAACTTATAGAAAAGGTAAAGGTAACCCCAACAGGCATGCACAGCCTTGGTGACCAGGAAAGTCACCCCCTGGCTATGAGAAGCCAGCCTAAGGCTCAGCTTAGCTCTTGTCACTGTCTCCCAGAGTGTGCTTGTCAAAGAGATACTCGGCCATGCCAGATTCAGGGGGCCCCATCTTGCGCAAGTTGGTTACATGGTCACCCAGTTCTTTGATGGATTTCACCTGCTCATCCAGGTAATGAGTCTCCAGGAAGTCACACAAATGGGGGTCGTTTTTGTCTCTAGCCAGTTTGTGCAGCTCCAGTAGTGACTGATTCATGCTCTTTTCCAAGTTTAAGGCGCACTCCCTTGCATTCAGCCCGTTCTCCCAGTCATCGCGGTAGGGTTTCTTGATGTCCTGAAGGAAGATGAGGCCACCTCGTTGGTTCTGCAGCTTCATCAGTTTCTCAGCATGTTCCCTCTCCTCATGAGATTGGTGAAGAAAATATTTGGCAAAATTCTTCAGAGCCACATCATCACGGTCAAAGTAGTAAGACATGGACAGGTAGACGCAGGAGGCGTAGAGTTCCAGGTTGATCTGGCAGTTGATGGTGGCCTCCGAGTCCTGGTGGTAGTTCTGGCGCACCTGCGAGGGGGACGCGGTCGTCATGGCGGCAGTGAGGGCTGGGAGCGATCCGGCCGGGGCGGTGTGGGGTGGGGAGGGCTCGGGGTGGCGGTGGGGGCGAGCGCCGGGTTCGACTCTCCGCGAAGGCTGTTGCTATACACCTGTTCTTAATATTTTTCCTAGTGTTAAAAGTTATCAATGTCCCTTTAGGTTACATACCTTTTATGATTTGACTAAAAATTTTTTTTCTTCACCACAATTATATTTTTTTCTATAGGTGTGCATATGTCTTTAATCTATTTAGCATTTATTTGTGTATAGTGTGAAGTGGGAATTCAATTTCATTGTAGTATTCAAACATATGACTGAGCTTTTCAATACTATTTAAGGAGTAGGCTCTCTCCTTTGTCCTCTGACTGGCAGTGCCCACTCTGCTAGAAATCAAATTTGCATTCATGAATGAGATGCTTTCTGGCTTGCTATCTGGCTTTCTGGCTATCTGGCTTTCTGGCTTGCATTTGTTGACCTCTTTAGCTCTTCATCAACACACGTCAACTTAATCACCAATAAAACTTGGTTCTTAAGAGATTTTTTTTCCTTATTTGTTTCTTTGATAGAGTCCTGACTTTTTTTTTTTTATTATTTTGGTCTTTTACTCGTTTATGTAGAATCACTTTCCCACGTTCCACAGAAAATCCTTGAAAAACATGTATTTTTTTAATTTAAAAGTGTATTTTAAATTGAGGGAGTACTGGAATATTTGTATTTTGTGCCTAAGAACATACTGTTTATTTCTTTTTATTTAGCTGTTATTTAAGTATCTCAGTAAAATTTCTCATATTATAATTGATTGGGTTTAGCAATTTTTACATTTTAATACAATTGTATTCTGACTGATTTTTATTGTTGTACAAAAATGCAGTTTCCTTTTGAATATTGAGATTTATTTAGTAACATGATTGATCCTTAATTTTTTAAAAATTTTTTTAGATTTATTTATTTATACAAGAACTGGGATATGGCCAAAGATGCGGGAGCGTGAGAAGATTCACCAGAGACAAAGGGGGGGGGGCATAACAGACAGACCGACCAAAAACAATGCTGAGGGGAGCAGCAGGCGAGACAGGAGAGGTCTGCTGCTCCATGTGGGTGGCTCCCTGGCCACCTGGGAATCCAACCTGCGCTAAGGAGGCTGCGAACAGTATCACAGCACTGCACTCAACCCCTGTGCCAGCAGGGAGGTCCGTTTAATTAATTCTTATGATACGTTTAATTCTAGCCTCAATGATAGCATTATTTATCATTATTTATATTTTTAGCTTTAAAATGTTTATACTTTTTTTCCTTATATCTCTGCATTAGTGAGAATCTTCAATAAATAATATTAAATGAAATTCTAATAATAGAAACCACTGAATTGCTCCCTGCACTCAATTTCAAGAGATAATTTTCAACATATACTATTAAAATGTTATTTTTGCGTGTTTTAGTAAAATCATTTACTACACTAACAAAGATCCCTTTTGTTTTTGGTTTTCTGATGTATATATCACAAATTTATATTGAATGATAAATCTTCCTCCTACATAGAAATCATGTGGTGCATCAGATTAATTTTGTTTCTAGTAACTAATGGACTCTGGATTTTTATAATTTTTTCTTTTAAACTTTTCTATGCATAAAGTTTTTATAATATTTTATTAGCCACATAATACCAATAGCATCTCTAGTCTAACCTATTATGTCTTTCAAATTAAGAGTATTTTATAATAATATTATAATCCAAGGAATTATATATTTAATTAGTTTATTCAAATAACCCTCCTTTGGTATGTTGAGACTTTGGGTTGTACTTTTTATTAATTTTTACTTTTTATATTTCATTTTCTATAGCTATTGACTTATCTTGTTTAAATTAATTCAATTTCTTAAGTTGGACTCCTAGTTTATTAACTTTTAGTCTTATTTCTGATATAAATTAAGCTCTTAAAGTATAAAGTTTAATTTAAGTACTGTGTTAATAGATGACAGATGTTTTGAAGTGTGGCAATTTATATATTTCCAATTACAAATAAATATTTCCTAATTTCCTTTATTAATTTTGATTTTTTTTTTGTGATTTGAGAATTTTGCCATGGTTTCAGTTTTCTAGTTGAAACTTAACATTAATTTCTATCTTAATTCCATTGTAATTAAAGACTCACTATTTTAATTCCTTCTTTTAAACAGTCTTTATATGTTATTCTTTTAAGATTACTTTAGCAATTTTAATATCACTTTAAACTAATAATCACTAAAGTTAGTATACTTGCTTTTCAACTTAACAAAGACTATATATTTCCACTTTTATCCTATCTTCTCGCCTTACATGTTACTTTTACCTTGCTTTAGTTCTGTTTTATTTCCACACATAGAATGTATTGCTACAAGTTTAGATAGTGTTTTTTAGAATTTATGGGCACATACTTCAATACGTTTTTTCTAATTTGTTATCATATTTCAGACTTTACTTCTGTTATCATTTTTCTTACTCCTGAAATTCATTCATTGGAGTATAATTTAGTGAGACTATAGGCAGCAAATTCTTTCAATGTTTATTTTTTGCCTGAAAAATGCCTTTACTTGGCCTTTATTCTTGAAATATATTTCCATCCCATCTAGAATTCTGGTTTGACATTTATTTTTTCAGCACATTGACAATAATTTTCCGTGGCTCTTTGTCTTCTATTCCTGCTTCTGAGTAGTCATTAATTAGTCAAATTGCTATTCCACTTTTAGGTAAATTGGATTTTTTCTTGGCTTGCTTTTATGATCACTCTATCTCAGTGTTTATCTTTCCTTTGAATAATTTTGATGACTTTAAATGTAGATTTCATTTTTTTGCTTTTATTTGTTTTGCTGCTAGTTGTGATAAATTATTTTTTTCAATAATGTTGGAAAATTCTCAGCTATGATTTCTTTGCATATAGACTTTCCCCCTAAACCTATATCAATTCTTTCTAGAATCCAATTAAATACTCCCTAGACTGACTCAACATCTCCTCAGAAAAATGTCTCTATGATAACTTTTGAGTAATTCATTTGAGGTTTTCAATTCTCTCTTGGACCATGGTTAATAATTCATTGAGGTTTCTTTTTAATTTGAATTATAATATTTTTCTATTCTAGAAGGTTGATATTTTCCAAATACCCCTGATTCTCCTTTGGCTAGATTGCATTTTCGAGCTTCTCTTTCATTAAAAGAATACTAAATTATAATTTAGTTTATACTTTGATATGTGGTATTTTCAGCCTTAAATATTTGTGGAAAAGTTTGTTCGATTTACTAATGTTTGTTTTACTCTCAGTCATGGAGGGTTTTCTCTGTTTCATGACTTTTATCCATGATTAGTATATTCTCCTTAGAATGTTGATTTGGTAGTAAGTGACATCAAAGTTAAAGTTGCCATTTCTCTAGAGAAGAGTTGCATTTACTTGTGTATGCTCCCTGACACTCCTTTAAAATAAGTACAGTAAGTCTTCACTTGACATAAAAAATAGTTTCTTGGAAAATGCTACATAATGAAAAATGAAAGTAGGCCCTCAAATAATGTTAGTATCATTTTTTCAATGCTGGTGAAGATCTTTTTTTCCTTTCAGTATAGTAAAACAACACTGAATGAAACAATGACATTTGAGGACCTGCTTTAAATTTGTGGTTGTTCATATGATTATTATGAATTATATTCTATTGAGGAGGACGAATTAATTTTCAGGGTTAATATTCCCCCTCGAAGCACCCCAGGTGTCATGAACAGATGGCTTGGAATGTTTTTGGTCTATACTTTGCCTCTGTGGTGCTTTAATTTCACCCTCTTCTTTCACTACATTCTCCCTGATCAGGCCGAAGATGGAAACCTTATATCCCAGTTTGTCTTCTTATGCTCCATACCTTGGTACTTCCTAGCATTTATCTTTTGTCTCTAGGTTCCTGTAAGTTGGGTCATGGTTTCCAAGATTCCACAAAATTCTGTCGGTGAAGACCACATGCTCCTTACTTCCATCTAGAATTCCAGCTTTTTTTCATATTCCAAATTTTACGGATTTCCTTATTTTTGTGCATTTTTAGCAAAGGAGTTTTACTTTGTCCATCATTATGACAGTCACACATTGTGTATCTATGAAAACACACTGTCTAAAAATAAAGTACTTAAGCCATTTTTCAAATAAATTAATATTTTAACAGCCATGTATATAAATAAATAACATTTTCAAAACACAGCATATTAAATAACATTTGCAAAACACTTGGCAGAGTTCTTCACATAATAAGTTTTGAAATATTTCATCTATATATGATCATTATAACTGAGATGTTGTATTGTTGAATCGTCTATTCACAAGTTATATAAAAACATCTAAGAGATCAGATATGTCATTGCAGATTTCACAACAATCTCTACAATTCAACTGAAAACAACACTATAAATGGGCAGACCTGTTTCATTTTTGTTATCTACATAATTAAATTAGATAATATTATTGATTCTGATTTCCCTGATTCAACTACATTATAGAAAAATGAAAACACTGAAGGAATTGAAGAAGGGTGATAAATAGAAGAATTGTATTTTGGACACACTATTAAAGTATTGAGCCTTGTTTTATATTTGTAGCATTCATTCATTTGTTTCACTGCCAAACAAATACAGATTATATGTTCAATGGCAATAGAAAACTGATAAATTCTCCCCCTGTTTAGGCTAACATAACGTCTAAGGTTACATTCTATGCTTCCCCCCAAAATTTCTCAGAAATATTTCTTTCTGTATACTTCCTTAGTTGAAGAATAATCAAATTATTAGCATAATAATCTTTTTAAAAATTCAAACTTTTGGGTCTCCCCTGGCAGCGCAGGTGGTTGAGCGCTGCGCTGTGAAGCTGTCTGCAGCCTCTGCAGCGCTGTTTCCATCCCAGCCAGCCGGCGAGGGTCCCACATGGCAAGGCAGACCTCTCCTATCATGCCCACTGCTCCCCTCAGCAGTGTATTTCGTCAGTCTGCCTGT